GCAGTTTATACAATCGGTAGAAATCCTATTTAATAAAAAGGAAAATACTAAATTTTATAAAATGTATTGTAATATTATAAACAATATTCTAAGAAAGATTATATATATATTATATATTATATATATAGTATATTATAAAGGTTTAATTAATTATCCAAAAATGCTTAAACTATTTACATCGGTTGAATCGTCGACTCATAATCAATCGCATGTTATATTTTCAATTGCTTAGGAGCCATTTCATTTTTACTGTTTTGGAATTTTGGCAGTCTCATTTATTAAGATTCAGTGATAACCCTGAATAAATAAAAGAGACAAAATATTATATGTATTTTACAATATTATATAAAATAAAGTTAGTAACATTTTAATGCTAATTTATTAAACTCTATACTAAGATATAGTATTTTAACGAATAAATACAACAACACGTCAAGAAAATTTAATTTTCTAATCATTGTACTAAAACATTTTTTGCATTCTGAGAATATTTTAGCACCCAACACTCTGCATTAAAAATATATTAATGTTAATTTATTTATCACAAGTTATTAGTACATGGAAAAATATGCAAGCTGAAAACTAAATATGTTATCTAATCTATATGTTTATACTAACTCAGTAATTGAATTGTCGAGTGAACTGCAGCAGTGATAGTTTCATATTAGTTTAAATAATTAATTTATTTTTTTGTTATCAATTTCAGTTTTGACATTTTCTCTTCCTTTTCTTTTCGGATTTTTGCATATTGACTTCCGGTGAGCCTTTTTCGATAATCGTTTTAAAACTTCAAAATATCATTTTCACTCAGCAGGCTCTTACAATAAATGATACACAACAATAGTAACGAAAGAAAAGTGTTATTTCCAGATCCGTCTTCTAGAACTAATTCAAGAAGTAATAGAAATAGCGCATATATGAATGCATAGCGAAATCTGTTAGCGATTTCTGATTGGCTAATTCAAACTCACTCTAAGAATGTAATTCTTTCTGCTCAATCAACCAATCAGAAGTCGTTGGCAAATTCTTTTCATGTATTCTGTAACATTGAAAATGTCCCCATTTGAAATTCAAACTTAATTTATAAATAAAAGGTTGAGGGGGCGGCTTTAGTCTCGTTTAAATTATTTTTAAAATAAAAATAGCATTTATGCTGTTATAGTTTTTAGAAAACCTAAATTTGTTTTAGAAAATATCAAGTTTTAGAAAATTTGCACCTTTGAAAATTTGCCGCCCTTGAAAATTTGCCGGCGTAGGCACGGGCACGTGCACGTAGGCACGTGCCTACTGGGCCTATGCGTAAATCCACCTCTGAATATAGTTTCAGAGTCTTATGTCTATAATTATAACACTCGATATTCATGTGATGATATTCATCATGTGACAGTATCAACAGCTCACTACAAAAAATTCCCATACAATACGTGTACTTTTTTTTCAACATTATTTTGCCAGATGTCATTAAACAATTAAATTTGATAAAAAGTTTAAGTCCCAAGTAAAATATTTTCTGCTGCATAACTGTTACTATACAATTATAGACTAAACCGATCATCAAAAAAAGGAAATAAACATTAATGTTAACAATGATATTTAATGTATTATTTACCATTAGGACTGTATAATTCTAAACAATCTGTAAAAATTATTGTATCGCAGTTTCTGGGTCAATGACCCCATCTCGATCAGCCTTTTCGATCAGTTTCCCTGATCCTTTGAGTAAATGTTGAGATGGCCCCTTGATTTGTTTCTGGATATAAATGTAACTTCATTATAAATGATTGTCTTCTAGAATTCAATGGGAAATATAATTATTCAAATTATTATTCTCCATGTCGCGACAGAACGTATTATTCCTTCATTAAAGACATGATGAGGGATAAGATTCCAATTTAGCCTCATGAGACCAAAGTTAATTCTGAACATATTTTTGTGCATTTTACACTTCTAAAAAATGACTAAAGCCAATTTAGACCATTTTGATTTTTTTCATCGGCCCAGTTTTAGGGAAAGTTATGTAACTAATAGGTTACATTGGGACCAACCCATGTAATTCCATACATCGTCCCATATATCGTCTTTCCATGACAGCGATATAACGATTTACGTTTATCATGTTTGTCACTCATATCTCCAAGATTAGCTGGGAAGAAATACAAACGGAAATGAAGGAAAGTAATTTCAGAGACAGGTTGCACCCTATTCCCTAACAATACGGCATGTGTTCCGATAACACCCTTTAATTCTCTCACATTACGTTTTCCAAGAAATCGTCGTATACATCGTTCAAAGCTAGTGAAGCTACCTTCTCAGTATCTGTCAGCAACTATTCAAAGGTAACATCTTTCATCAAGTTACGGATCTGAGGCCCAATGAAAATTCCTTCTTTCATTTTAAAATTTCTAGCTTCAGGAAATTTAAATAGTAAAAAATGAAACTCCTGGCCATCTTTATCCAGTCCGTTCACAAAATTCTTCATAAAGCCCAATTTCAGATGGAATGGTATCTTTGGCGCACACTGTTTTTGTCAATAAAGGGTTCATGCGGCACATTTTTCCACCAGGATTAAAAATGTCTCCTAAAAATCCCACAACTTACAGATCACCACAAATTTTCCATTTGTGATTCGAATGGACAGTTTACTTCAGGAGTAGCCTCATGTTCTCGTAGGGTTTCTTTAACTGAACGGCCACTGGTAGGCCACTGGTATCGTAGGTTTCTCGTTTCGGTTATCTAAGAACAGCTTTGAGACAACTCTTCGAGAATTCAATAGATTGGCGCCTTTCTTCCGGAGTGTCAATCATCCCAAATTTTGTAAGCCGGCCATTTATGTCGTTGCAATATACCGCACTCTATCATTGAGAAAAAAGAGAAAAATGAACCTGTCGTTTACGGAATGTAACACAAGTGTTTGGTTGTCACAGGCTTCTTTCTTGAAGGTGGGACCCGAGTAATTCTGCTTGCTTCTTTCAAGGATTTAGATCTCTTACAAGATCGTTCAATTCCGCCTACGACAATGGCTGTGCCATTCTGGGGTACTTGAGATTGGGAGGGAGTAATCAAGATCTTCATGATTTACGTGATCTGTTGGTTTGTCACTACCATCGCCTCATGCAGGGTCCATTCCTTTGGCGGTTTTGGAACTGGGGAAGAATCAGAATGCGGAACTGAGCGCAATGCAGATTCCAAATACGAATAAGAAACTGTGTTTAGATTTACATGAGATTCCTATTATTTTCGTTAAAAAAGTAGCAATCTGTAATGTATGTTCCCTCCTCAACTGTGGTACAGCAAAAGGTATAGACCGAGGGGTTCATAAATGGGACTGAGTGATCTCAAGATCGATTGACTGATGCAACGGCAACTTCCCTTTACCTACCCCAAGTGGCTATCACCCCTTCCCTCTTTACTCCCAACACTAGGCACTAATATTTCTAAAATAACAGAATGTGATAAGCGCCGCAACAACATAAATAACACCTGAGCGCAGATAAAATTACGTTTTGTAATGAAAGTTTAGGTGGTATCAGACAATGGTTTTCACCATTGTCATCAGGGCCCTGAACTACATAACAATCACATATTTTTGTTCTGCGACAAATATCAGTGACGCACTGTGTTACCCCTCTTTCCGATTCATCGCCGCAGGGTTCGATTTTATGAACTGTCTTCTTCCTTCTATACTACTAAGGATGTCCAACTTGCAATGTGACTGAGTGATCTCAAGAGCCAAAATTAAAACCTTTAATATGGTTGCGGGCCATATTTTCATTACTCGGGCGATCCACGCCTAACTTCCTCGTATTGTTGGTGTCGGAAGTTTGGCAGTCTGCTCTGAAATGAGGGAGGGGGGTCTGGAACTATGCGTGATATCATGTCGTACCATGCATTACCCAGTGAAACACATTGGAATGATTCTGAATTTACTAGAAAAAAATCTTAATTCTGAACTTAACCTATTTTTACATAAAGATGTTGACCCCGCCAGGGCCCGCGCGCTGGGCGCACAAAGTTCTCGCCAGACATGGATGCGAGGCATTTTAACATTTGACTAATAACCAGGGCTCGGATTCTGTTGACATATCATCTCTTCATTGGTGGATTGAAGACGTAGCTAACTTGTAAATGAATGTTAATCACGACATATATGTGACGAAAATATACAGTTACTGGGCCATTTTTTGCCATTCTTCATTTTTTGGTCTTTTTTATCTTTGCGTTATTTTGTAATTTTTACGCATTTTGTTTCCTCTTCTTGTGTTTTGCTAGTGAATGTTTTATGAACTTACAATGACATACTAAAAAAACGTTTTATTGCATCATCAGTTCATGACCAAATTCACTACCGCAGTGGACTCTTTTTCGGACTCTCAATTTACACAGATCTTCGGTAACTTCCTCGACGGTTCAAAACTGACGATTGGAAGATCGGAGCTAAGGATTACATTTCCTCCTAAAATAAAGACTTTTTGTTAAATATAATTTTATATAAATAAATTTTATTTCAAATTGTAAAATTCATTGAAAAAATAAACATATTCATACAAAATTTTTAGTATTTAAAAAATGTTCATTTGCCATTTATTTTTAAGTCAGTTTATAGGTCATTTTCAAAGAATGTTTAGATCATCAGAATCCGCTTATAGAATCTTTGCTAATAACCTTTGGCGGGCCACAATAAATAGCACCGTGGATCACATGCGACTCGCGGGCCGTCAATTTGACAACCCTATTCTATGCGATATGCCCATGTCAATTCGAAACGGAAGAACAGTTCTCTTTAGAGTATCTTTTGCAATAAAGAAGCAGTAAATAGTGCTATATCAAATTTTTCAAATTGTTTTCGTAATGACACGTGAATAGTAAACGAAAATGTTTCAGTTCAGTTTTCTTTTTCTCATAAACAATTGCATAGTGTATTGAAAATGAGTGATGTTAAGATAACAAACCGTTTCCTGAGAGATTTCAAAGCCGAGAATTTTACTGAATTTGTAGAAGATATGATTATCTCGTATAAACATGTGGAATATGTCACTAAAAAGCAGTTTGCATTTACACCTGGTTCTTTGTATATTATTCGTTATTTCTTGTTCCTTATCTAACAACTGCTGTTATCTCGGAAATGAGAGCTACTGTAAACAATAAATTTAAGCATCATTAAATGGTTAGTGTACAGAAATCGTAAACACTATGTTATTTACCCTATAACTTTTCAATATTTTCACCAAAGCTTATTCTGAAACAACCGCATCTCATCATTATCGATGATCCAAGACTTCTCAGAAAGGAGGAAATTCACAAACGTAATGCGTGAATAATTGAAAACTTTGTGAGTTATAGTGGAAGTAAAATGGAAGTGGGTAACCGAGTGGGAATTGTTCGTGAACCATCCCGACATAATTGTTTGATCTTTGAGGCCTCTAGACGCCACTGTTTCCACAAGTTAGTAATTTCGTTCATTCAAATTTACCTCTCATGAAAGTTGTATGCCACAAACAAAGGTAGCGTTAGAATCGGTTAAATTCAGAGTAGTTCATTGGTGTGAAATGTATAGATATCTGATTTGATGTGGTAGTGAATGCTAGGCGGGAAATCAAGGGAAACGAAACGAAGTTACAATGCACGATGGAAACAAAGCTAGAAGTAGATCCTGGAAATGTCCGTGTTGCTATGAAACCCCTTGATGACAGTGTTGTCCATAGAATTTGTTCAGGACAGGTGAGTTAAGGAAAGTAATGTGTTCTAAGATGAAATAGTGAGTGATTTAAGACGTGTATAATCTTTCAGATTATAACAACATTGGCGGTGGCTGTTAAGGAACTTATTGAGAATTCCCTTGACGCTGGTGCAAAAACCGTGGAAATACGTTTCAAAGATCATGGGAGCTCTGTGATTGAAGTTCGTGATGATGGATCTGGCGTTGAACGAGAAAATCGTGCTGCTTTTGGTCAGTTAAATTCTATTTTAATTACTGACCCTCCTTTTCTGAAAGAAATTGATTCTCGATTTTCTGCCTTCCAGCCTTGAAAAATTATACTTCAAAAATAAATGACTTTTCTGACATTTATAAACTTCATACTTACGGGTTTCGTGGAGAAGCCATAAATTCATTATGTGTGATAGGAGAGGTATCGATGATTACTCGCCATGAAGATGATGAATGTGGAACTTTTCTTGTGTATGATAGAAGTGGAAATATTGTGGAAGAAACTCCTCGAGCAAGAATGGTAATTAAATTTCTTTTTTTCCTTTTGTTTAGAAGATTATTATTGGAAGGAACATATGTCACACTATTATTTGGAGATTACCATTATCGTGGCTTTATCAGATTTGTGCAAGTATTTCAAACATTTTGCTCATTTGCAGGCTCTCTTTCGAACTTGCAATTTTATATTGAATGGTTTATGTGTTACATAAACTATGTTACAGAATAATTGTATCCTTAGGTTACTAAACCACGATAAAATATTGCAGTCATTCTGCTTTGTGTGTGTAATACTTAAGATACTTATGTTATTGAGTACATTGTTTGTAGTTGTAGGTACAAGCAATTGAAAACTCACCAAAACAAAATGTCACTGGTGGGTACTAATAGTATTTGTATGTCTTTTCTGAAACAGCACTCCTTGTTCTATAATAGCAATGAAATGACTTCCTTCTTGAAGTTTATTATGTTATCATGAACCAAATATATTTTTGATGTCATCAAGCCATCTCTTCTGACTCCCTCTAAGTTTTAGTACTCCTGTGAATAATCCTTGTGTCAATTCATTCTTGTGCATCACTACCAGTCATGTACTGTGAATTCCAGTCTTGTGAACATAGACAATGATTTAAAGAGTGAATGTCATAGGCAAAGTAGTTACAGTTATAGCTTTTGAGTAGATTCCTTCTTTTCCATTTACTATTTCTTCTGCCTGTTTTTTTTAACTCCTACCCTTCCTTGATTACATTAATTATGAAGTTTTTAATCTCATTAAACTTTTGAAATTGTAAATAACTACCTTTATAGGTTGGAACTACAGTGTTTGTGAAGAACATTTTTTTGTCTCTACCTGTCAGACGAAAACTCTTATTAACAAATATAAAAAAAGAATTTTCCAAAGCTGTAGATATTATCAAGGCATATTGTTTAGTTACTACTGGAGTGAGGTAAGTCACTCGAAACTGAACACTACGAAAACATTTTTGTTGTTGTTTTGGTTTGTGTATTTTTACGTGTGATCTGAATGTTTCCCCCAGAATTATTTGCACAAATCAAATTGGGGAAAAATCATCAACTACAGTAGTGGTAACAGATGGAACATCTGTATTAAACAATATATCTTCTGCTTTTGGAGTAGACCAGGTTTGTTTAAAGTTTTAATATCATCAAAATGTAAATAATTGATATTTGATTTATTTATAAGATTTTTACTTTCTTGTGTTCTAATGTGTGTGTGTTTGTATAGGTTAAAAACTTACTGGCTGTTCCTCGAAGGCTTCCTGATAGACAGTTAATGGAAGACTTCCGAATAACAGATGATGAAATTGAAGGAAATGAGATTGATTTTGATTGTTACATTTCCTCTTGTGAACGTGGAGAGGGAAGGAATATTAGAGATAGACAATTTGTATATGTGAATTCTAGACCTTGTGATTATGAAAAGGTAAGTAGTTTAGGGCTGAAGTGTAGTATACGGTACAACTTACGGAAGTCGTTTAAACCGGCACTTTGCGCTGCTCCGGCGATAACTGCGCAGTTTGAATTTTTAAGGTTTTTTGAAAACTGCTTTCTTATAAAAGTGATGTGGTTATTATGCAGTGGATAGGCTCAAGGATGTTTATAGTGAATGTGAGGGCTGAAGGCCGAGCCTCGCCATGACTTGGATCTGGGCGAGCGAAGTGAGAAAACTTGCCTTTGAGAGTAAATTGGCTTTACAACGCAGTGAGAACTAAGCGTACAAAGGGTGAGACATGAAAATCGCCTATCTGTGAGTTTTATTCATTTCTATCAAAGCATGTAGTGTAATTTGAGGGAGGGCTTAAGGAGATCCCGCCACCACGCTTCTCTGAGGGTGTACCGTGTACCCTTCTTTAACCTAGTTTAGTTTTACTTCTGGGAAAGCAAACTAGAAACCATCCCGGCATATGCCTTTAGTGATTGAATAAACCCACAAACCTCTATTAGGATGGCAGCTGAAAGCTGAGGATATTGACAAAATAATTGTAATTAAGACATTGTGCTTTTAGAAGTGTTAAAAAATTTAATTAATTTTATGCATCAAATGAATGAAAATAAATATCTTTTAAGCTACTCTCTGTAGTATATTTGATTAATGTAGTGGCCATATATGAGGGTTATGGGTGTTTTCATTTAGTGATTGTAACCTGATAGCAATTTCATATGTCCATGCACCCCGCTCACAGCAGCCATTCATTCATAATCATCATTCCTGTGCATATGTAGGAAGATATGAGTTATAGAACTGAGACAGGCCTTGGACTATCTCATTGATAAAAGCAACATAAAACAAACTTAACTTTAGTTCTGTGTCACATTACATTAATTCATAACATTATAAGATCTCTCAAGCAATGAAGCTTTCTGTGGGGTCCATTTTGTCCTGCACCACAAGTGACATTCTTAAGTAGGGCATGATCTCTCTCTGGGGTAAACTACCTTTTGAACAGCAAGTATTCAGCAACTGTGGGACTGTCATTTGTACAGAAGACAAGTCTGACATTGAACCTTTTGTGAATTACGTTACTAAAATTATAATGGTAATTTCCAATGTTTATTTTTTATTAAGTTTAATTATACATTTCATGACCTTACATCCTGAGAAATATTGTGTATGGATGTGTGTTCCGAGACTTTGTAACAGATATTTTGTAGGTTGGCTCTTCAACATGTGGACTTGATCTATACTTTTACCTGTCTAGAATTTGTTTCAAATGGTTATTTATTGCTTTGTGAAGTGAAGTAAAGCATGTTGAAATATTTATTTAATATTTTTAATGCATTGATTTGACATTGTGTTAAGTCATTTGGAGACATAACCAATTCTGTACTAATGAGAAAATGAATAATTTCTTTCCAATTCCTTTTTGCAGATTACCCGACTAATTAATTACATGTTTCATCAGTATCAGAAACGTAAATATCCATTTTTATTTTTGAATCTAAAATTATCTACAGAATCTGTTGATGTGAATTGCAGTCCTGATAAACGAGAAATAATATTAAGAAATGAAAATCTTGTCCTAGCAACAATTAAGGTAAGAGAAGATGATTTTTCTCTTTTTAATTTAAATCTTTTTAAAGGTAATAAATAATTGTTATTCAAACTGTATCAGGTTGTAACCCACATCTCTAAGAACATTTTTGTTTTATGGGTTTGAAATTGCTTTTTTCACTTACTGCAAAAATTTAGGAACTGATTTGACTGTAAAATTAATTTGAATTCAATACTTCAAGATACAACTACAATTTTCCAAATTGAATTATGCTGTCTCCTTATTACACTAAAGTAATATCTAGAGACCAGAACTTCAGGTTTATAAATTTCTAAAATAGGCAATAAGGCACTTAAACCTGCTAAAATAGGAAAAATAAAATAAATGATTTTTAATAATGAATTCACAATTTCAGTTTAACACAACAGAGTAGAATATTGATTTCACAATAATAATAAAGATCTAACCCTCAAAATGATTTTTTTTGAGGAAATAGAAAAAACCTATTAAGAGTGTAAATGCCTTTATTTCTGTAAAAACCTACTTACCATCAATATACTATGTACTGAGAATCACTCTTAAGTCAAATTTTAAGTGAAATTAAAGGAGATAAAACAAAAATAATTCCAAATTTCATGGAAAAGTGATCTAACCACAAAAATTAGAAGATTGCTGTTATTGTGCTCATAAAGTGTCATTTTCTTTAAAAATCTGATAGAACTCATGGTGTAATGAATTTGCACACATGTAGTAAAACTCTTTTTTTTCCTCGTAATTGCAGTCTTCTTGGTAGTTGAGTGTATTGTGTTGTGAGTGGTTGCAACTAAAATGTTTTGTTCATTTGCTGCATCTCATTATGTTACCCAAGGTTGAATAATATTGGAAATTTTGTTCTGTATACTTCAAAATGCAAGACATAACTTCCGAGGATCATGTTTTAGCCACTGATTCTTTCAAAGCAAAAGTAAGCTGTCTGCTCCCATGTCGTGGATAATCTGATTTTAGGCCAAAAACTGCTTTTAGCAACAATAAATCTTCATTATTTGGACAATATAAAACCCTCTATTACACACAAAAAGCACTAGCAGTTCATGTATTCCATTCAACATGGCACAAATTCTTTGGAGTATTTGTAATGTTGGATTTTCTAACTTTTCTCCTCCAAGACGTTGGTTTTGAAAAGATAACGGAGAATGGAAATCATTACGTGTTGACAGTGTGCTGAGAAGTAAAATTATATTTGACCAATATTGCTTGGCAGATAAGTATTTTTTCTCACTTAATTTCATGATCACCAATGGGATAGTAGGGTCATTTTAACTGGAAGAAATGAATGAAGTTTGTTCTTTCTGACTTCAAGTGTGAGAAAATATTTCACTCTCCACCATTTATGAAACTGTTTACTTTTAAAGTAAACTAAGGCTGAAGTCAAGTATATGGTACAATGTAAGGTGTGCAACACGCTGCTCCGGTGAAGGGGAAATCCATCATGGAGGGGACGTGGGGTTCATAATTGGTCATGAACATGACGTCATAAATTAGGGAAAGCAATTTTACCCTATTATTTTTTCGGAGCTCCATTATCAAATGGTGCTTGAATCTGGCTCGACTCAAGGTGCTGCAATTTTGAAAAACTTGCAAAATTTTGGATTTTCTTGGCCTCTTCCTACAACTACAAAATGGAAAAGATTTTTCTCTCAAATGAAATTTGTTCTCCATAATTAGTTACTTCATTATGGTCATATGTATTTTTTTGAAAATTTTAGTAGTTTTTGTGCAATATGTGCAATTTCAAAAAATATCAAAAACAAGATTTTCACTACTCCAATTTTTTCTTTAAACTTTTGATAGGGATAGTGCCTAATGTACTCTGTGATGATATAAACGCCATATTGCTCAATTTTGTTTTTTCAAAAATTACACAAATGTAATTTTTTAAAAATATATCTCACAGCCTTAATATGCAGATTTCTAGCGATTTGTAAACACTATTGCATTTGTGAGTGGAAGTGCTTCAAATGACTTCCAATCAAGTTTTTCGAAAACTCAAAACTTTTTTGTGAAAAAGAGATTTAAATTTCGCACTTAACACATTCACTGCCAAGCGCGTTCTTGCTATACTACACCTTGGTACCATTGAGATTTTTCACACATTATGTCTCCGGGCTAGTGGTAATTTACATACTTCATACATATTAGAACATTAATTGTTGTAATTATATTCATATATAGAATTAATTTTATTTACATGAATGTAGAAGTCCGTATGGAATCACAGGAACATTTGCAGCTATTAACACGTGAGACCAGTTTCCCTACGAGACTATATGGGGCCTCGTACTAAAAAGAAGTTGAATGTCCCTACGAGACCATATGGTCTTGCATGGCAGTCAATGTGTTAAACAGCATTTTCTTAAAAATTACTCCAAATTTTTTAATGAAAATTCCCATTTTGGATGTTATTTTACCCTTCTCTAATATTCTTAAAGTAATATTTCAGTTAGTCCACTATTAGTACACTGAAAAATTGAGATGATATCAAAAAAGTATACTGTATGTGGCAAGACTGAAAATCTAGCTCATACCAAAGAAATTAAACTAGTACGTAAGTAGAACTAACTAGTAATACGTACAGGAGAGAAAATCTGTGCCATTCTGTAGCACCACTAGTTTAAAATGTCCAAAAAGGGCAAAACATAAATATAGGGATAAATAGATACTTATCACAAAATAGGTTAAAAAAGACAAAATAGAAAATTATTATTGGAATCAAAAACATGTAATTTGTTGACCTTCATTTTAAAAATCGAACTAACTTGTTTGATTAAAGAAAGGCATCTAGCCTATGTCCTTGATCTCTAGTAGTATCGAAATGGGGCTGAGCACTCATTTTAATGTGCTCCAGTAATGATTGAATGGAACCAAGTGTTTTCGCAGTATAATTGACAAATTATAGTTATTAATTGAACTTTGAATGTAGCGGAAAATTTATTTTATAATTTCAAAACTTTTGCGAAATCTAGAATTTAATCTCGCCCCTGAAGAAGCTCTCTATTTATGCTTATTCTGTTGTGTTTAATTTGAATTTGTGTGCGGTTAATCTCTACAGTTAATAACAAAAATTAGTTTTTCAGTGAAAACTATAAATAAAAAATGCACTGGAATGATAAAATTGTTTGTACCTTTTAGGCATCTCTTATTGAGATTTTTAGGTCCGTACGATCAGTATCAACTATAGAAAACAACAAGTTGCCTTCTGTGCAATTCAAGTTGGAAAACAGTTTTTTGACTGTTAAAACCAATTCAGGTCATAATTCGTTTGTCAGTGAGGAATGTACTGTGACGATTGATACTCCAGAGGTATCTTCCATGAAAAGCTCAAGTATTACAGAGACGCTTAATGAAAACGGATTCCTTTGTAGTAGAACATCAACTCAAAAAACCGAAGTGTCAACTTCTTGCGACGGTCTGTTTGAAGAGGAGTGTGTTACTACAGTGCAATATGAAGATAATCCTGCTGCTTGTAATTGTAAGTCAGATGAGTTTTGCATGACTTCATTATTTGAAAAGTCCCAAAATAATAAGTATAATATAGGCAAAAAGAAGAGATTTGAAGATAGAAAAAACTTGCTTTAATGGATAAATGCTGCAAAATAATTTCTTTAGTAATTATCATCACTTAGTGCAATGATAAACACTATGAACTGCGTAACTGTTTTTGACACAAATACATAAATGATGATGCATTGAAATCTCTCCTAAATACTTGGTCCTTATAAATTCAGTAAAATTAAGTTTCATTTTGGATCTTGATATAACAAAAATATTGAAAGTTAATTGTTTATTTTTCAGTAAAAAATCAGGTATAGTAGACACTTCACGTAATTTTTCCACAGAATAAAAGATTCTGTGGAAAAGTTAATTGCATTTCCATTTTTGTATTTTAACTGTACCCAATGTACTTTTTATAGCCATGAAAAATTCTTGAAAATTGCTTTTTATTTTGTAGCTAGAGCTGACCAAAGCAAAAAGATAATATTTGATGACAATAAAAGATGTTATAATGAACACCGGAGTCAAACTGTTATTGATGTGGGAATCTTGGTGGACAAAATTGAGCCCAAAGAAGGAAAGCGTAGAGAAGCAAGGGATTTATTTCAAGAGAAACATAATGAAATTCTCAAATTTAGAGCTGCATTAGATCCTGCCCAAAATGAAAATGCAGAGAAAGAATTACGGCAACAAATATCAAGGGAAATGTTTTCTAAGGTACTGATATGTTTTATATTTCTGGAATTTTCTTTATGTAATTGAATAATTTTGCATTTTTGTTGTTTTTCAGATGGAAGTAGTTGGTCAGTTAAACAAGAGTTTTATTGTTGTTCACATGGAGTCTGATTTATTTATAATCGATCAACATGCTGCTGATGAAATTTATAATTTTGAAAATCTTATGAAATCATCCACGATACCGAACCAACGGCTTGTTGCGTATGTCACGAGTGATGCTGAGAGTATTATTAGAACATTAACATGGATTTTATACATTTGAATATTATAGCAATTTTGGAACAGTGTAACTATTACTATAACAAAACAAATTATCATGTACAAGTTAGCAGTCTCATAATAAGCTACTAACCTTGTTCACTCAATGGCATGTAAAGTATGTGAGCATTATTTAAAGTACAAATGTGCAAAATATTAATTGTTAATACAAAACATACATGCTTTTACATCTTTTTTTAAGATTTAATGAAATTTTGTAGTTCTTTGTAGTTTAATATGAAATATTATTTATAATTTAAATAGAAACTGTTAACTTCATTTCATCATTAATATTTAAAAATTATGTAACAAATGTTACCACATATTATCACATCATTTGTCATAATTTTGTATGAACGTGTTAAAATTAACTTCTACCAGAAATCATTTCTGAAGAACTAAGGTAGAGACCGATATGTCAAAAAAATCTATCTTTTGTTATTTGAGTATTCATGTTTCAGTATTCAGTGAAATTTTGCAATGTCTTGCTTGAAGGGAAGAGGGTGTTAGTTGTGAAACACTTTAATGATTTTGCCACATTATTGTAAATAAAATCTTAATTTTGGCAAACCTGTGAACTTCAGAAAGTATCTCTTAAGAAATCAAGTTTTCTGACGAGATTTTTAATAATTTATTTTGAATAATTATTGATAATAATTACATGCAATAAAATATTTCATGTATATGCTTCATATTATAATTCTACATCCCATGAATTTAGAGTAATTGTATAATTAAAAAAAATACTTTTTCTGATGAAAATAATGTTAAAAAAATGAGTAAAAAATGTTTTTTTTTATCCATCCTAGTGTTGCTTATTTTTCAAATCAGCATATGATGTGTAATTGTATGTTTTTATGTTGTAGACCTCAATCACTTCAGTTACTTCCAAATCAAGAAACAATTGTTACAGAATACATAAATGTTTTTAAGAGAAATGGATTTGAGTTTGAGATAGATCTTTCAGGTTTGTTCAATATCTATATATCTAATTTGAAATATATACCTAAATTGATAGAAAAATGTGCAGTCTATGGTTATGTGAGAGATGATGATTTTCTTAGAAGATATCAAGGAAGACTAGAAATATACAAAAACTATTAGTTTTAATTTTGACTGAAAAATGCAATTTGATTTTGTTAATCTGCAATTTTTTGTGTTACTGCTGTAGTCTCATACTCTGCTTCAGTACGTATGTTCAGTTTAAAGTTTCCATTAATTGGGATTACTTGTTGGACTGATTATCATTTAAAATAAATTAAAAATAAATAGTTTAAATTGTGTTTTGAAGAGTAAAAATCGAATGGTTAATTTTTTTTTGTTTTGTTCATTCCATATTTCAAGCTACCATAGTAGACAGAAGAAACCATGTTACATGGTGCATCTACTGACACATTTAAAAGAATGAAATATGCAAGATTCAACTACATGCTAATATTATATATGTATATACAAGTATACCTGACAATATGTAAACAAAATTTGTAACATTACTTTTTTACCTTAAGCAGTAAATAAAGTAGTAATGTAAAGTGTTTTTGGCATAATTACTGGTGTCGTATAAATGTCGTTGGGTATTGTGAACTTTTAAAAGATATTGGTAGTTCAAACATATGGTGACTGGTAACTTTTGTTTTCAGCTCCCCCTTGTCAAAGAATACAATTGACTGCAGTGCCTGTGAGTAAATTATGGACTTATGGAAAAGACGATGTAATAGAACTCATTGCTATGCTGGAGGTATAGTATGAAAAATATTTTTATGTTATTCGTAGCAGTGTAAACAATATAGCAGTCAGTGATGTACTGTACACAAAGTGCTGATTTTATTCCTTTCTTATTCTGGAAGTCTGCGTTCATCAATAATCGTTGAATTTCATTCTATTAGAAACATAGCTGTATAAAATGACACTTTTTAAGGACTGTTCTCAGTTGATACTAGGTATTTCTGATACACTGATTAAGTATCTGCCTGATTTTTCTTCATAATAACAGAATTTTTCATAGTTTGGACAGTTCATAGTTATGAAATTGTGGTCAAAAATTTTTGTGTAGGAAAGCGAGATGCCTCTCAGATGTTTGAAAAAATAGTACAGAGGCCAGAAACTCATAGAAAGTTAAAAGATGCAAAAGAATAAAATATTGAAGCAAACTGTTTACCATACTAGTGAAGTTTTCTTTCTTTCAAGTGATAGAGTGGATTTCTCTTGCGAGTAGCATGTGATCCCTTTGTATTGATCTTCAGCAGCAGTGGCAGTGGCTTAGCCCTCCCACAAATTTAAGAAATTAAATTATCATTTCCAAGATAAGAAACTAAACAATTTAATTTTGAAATTCTTCCTTTAAAATTCTTTGCTGGCGAGCCACAGTTTATTGCATCTGCAGTGAAGATTTCAGCTCTTCATGCTGTGTGAGGATGAGGCTTCTTTGGAATTGCCTCTTTGTGGACACTGCAGAATAGGCAGTGGAAGCTATGTTAGGGGTGGGGGAATTAAAGGGTTTTTCAGTTGGTTCTAGGAAATGATCTCTAAAATATTTTTAGGGTAGTTAAATAAATGATAACAGTTATAATAATAAAAAGCTAGTGGTGCTACAACAGTACGTACTTTCTGGCATTATTTGTAACTTTGAAAATTCCAAGAGTTCAATGAAAATGTTCAGTATCATTTGTTAAGTGTTCTTTGCTCTGTGAAAAAATTAAAAGAAAATTTGAGAAAGAGACATTTGGCAAGAGAAAAACTAGAAATTACCTTTACTTCAAGCAAAAATTACACAAAAACTTGTTGTTTTTTTCAGAGTTATAGCTTAATTTTTTCTGTGCTTTTACACATAAGAGTGTGAGCTTTTTTTTAACATAATGAGCAAATTTTACATAATGTGTTCACATTATGTAAAATATGAATGGTATGTAAGTTTACCACATACAAATTACATCCTCTTAAAAATTGGAATCGTAGATCCCCCCCCAATTTTTAGCTGTAATCTCTGTTAAGATCTCAAACTTGGACACGTAAAAGGTCCCTGCGATACCAAAACAATTTTAATTTCAACTGAAAAATAATTGAAAACAAGCAGGGAAAAATGCTTCATTTCCACATTGGTTATTAGTGTTAAAGAGGAGATACCACATTATTTTCAAGCCATTTTTAACTAAGAAACCTTCCTTGAAAATAAATAAGTACACTTAGTAAGCAGAATCAACACTTTTTGGCCTTCTTGTTAGCCCAGTAATCTCTCATTTGCAACAAATGCATGTGCTTTTGTTGCTCAGACTATGTTTTGTTTGACATTCTTTTCCACCTCTAAACTCGAATTTTGCAATTTTTCTATTTATATCACAATCTTGTAAATTTGGAGATCCCAATTCTCTAAGATCCTTTTCTATTTGTCTGTACCAATTCAATATGGTGGATTTACTTTTCAAGACGACACGGATCTGGTTTGTTAACCTGCTAGCATTCATTCTTTCTAAATGTCCCATAAATTTGATTCTTCACATTGCATCTGTGATGTTTAGGAATTTGTAGATTTTCTCATTTGGTTTTCGGTAATTTATATCATTCTTGATTGTAGGGCCAAGGATTTTTTTCATTTTGTGTTCTTTAACTTCTAAATGATGTTTTAAAGTTCTGTGTCGAAGGTTAAGAGTTTCTGATGCATACTGTGCTTCCGGTTTGATTACTGTGTGGTAATGGTGAATTTTGCAGTTCCATGTCAAGCGCTTGCTTGCACAAGGGATATTTATATATGTATATTAAAAAATATTTGATTTATGAACATCATATACTTTCTTATTCTAGGAATGTCCAGATGTGATATGTAGGCCTTCTCGAATAAGGGCAATGTTTGCTTCACGTGCTTGTCGAAAGTCAGTAATGATGGGGTCATCACTCACTCATTCTATAATGAGAAACATAGTAGATCACTTAGGAACTTTGGATGAACCATGGGTATGTTATGAAAATTGTCACTGGTTACCTTAATACAAATTTCATTCTTATTATCTAGAAGAAATAAGCACTTCAAAACCTTTACAATTTTCTTTATATTAGTGTAATATCTTTGAATAAGGTTTGTTTGTTTTTAACTTCTACATGCAGATTATACATTTTAAGGGTTTTAAAATTTTCATGTATGTATAGAATAAAAGAGAAACTTATGTAAAACTATCTTTCCATATTTCCTACCTGCACAGAATTGCCCTCATGGTCGACCTACAATGAGACACCTTTTTGACTTAAAGGAAATGAAAGAAAAGACTGTTAAACACAATTTACAGTGTGAATAAGAAAGAAGTTAGCTTGTGAAAAAAAGTACAAAGAAATAATCACGAATCAACTTTTTACAACAGTATTTTAAAATATTGTTCATAGATAATTTAAACATGTCAATTTTAAGTGGAATATAGTGTTACGGATTGTTTACATTTTAGTAATTATTTCATGGTACAGCAAACTGTCAAGCTGATTCATTGTTTTTGTGATATTTTATTCCATAATTTTTTATATTGCTTTTAAAATGTTATGTCTTCTAATGATTTGTATTGATTTTTATGGTTTTGAATAATAAAATATTGATTCATAATTGAGCAGTTATTTGTGGTATGTATACCTTATGACATTCTGAATTGGTTAAAGTTTCATTCTGTATGCTATTGAGAATTTGTTTTTACTTACTTTACAATGGATGTGGCAAATATCAGCAATTTTTTTTTTTTTAATCTCACATTATGGGGCCTTAGTATAAAAATTGGTTAAATCTTATTCCTTTATGTGGTAAATTACTTCTTCAAACATGTAGCCAGAATCCAGGTTTTGTGGGTCCTGGATACCAAAAAGTTAATTGACGACACATCTGTCCATCTATGATCAATGCTGGTGCCTAAAACATTCAGATAATTTAAATTTCAAGATACATCTGGATGCACTCGAGAACCTGCATGTTTGAAACTTATACAAATTCCACATTGAGCAAGGTTTACTGTATAATGCAGAAATCAGTCTGTGAAAAGCCAAACATATATTCTAGTATTACATTGTTTAATGGAAGTGGAATCGTATCTAATACCAAAAAAAAGTATTGGTTCCTCAAGCTTCTGCACTAGGCAAATTTTACTGTATTTTGTTTAGTTGCAAATTTTGTTGTCAAAATTTGACCTCGGATAGCGCAAAGGATTCTTAAAAAATGGAACATGTCTCATTTTTGTTAAAATCACTAAATTTTCAAAAGTTGACACTTTTTGGTGTTTTCCTACAACTACCCTATTGAAGATATTTTCCCCCTTAATTACATTTGTTAATGACAGATGGATATTTAAATAAGGTAATCACAATTATTAAAAAAGTCATTTCTACTTTATTTTGCATTAAATAAAGCAATTTTTAAATAATTATTATCTTAAAAGCAGCTCCAGTTTTTTTTCCTATAGAGCCAATGACCCGTAACAAAACTGAGGAGGCCCCATTTTCAGGGTTCTCTCTCTGGTTTCAAAAATTGGAAACAAAAAAATTAACAACATTACAATATTGATGACATTAGTTTTAGATTTCATTAAGAAAACAAATCTGGAAATAATGTGAATGAAAATCTGTGAATTTTTGAAAATTGCAAATGCAAATTCTTGTCTTTTTCTAATATGTAAGGGGAAAAAAAAAAAAAAAAAAAAAAAATTGCGTTAAGCCATTGTTACATAGCTCTGATTTGAACCATTTCTCTACAAAAGAGGTTAATCATTATATCAGTTTATTTTTTGTCATCATCACAAACTATTAATAAAACTGAAAATATAAGCCAACTGAAATTATAAAAAAATGCACATTTTCAGTTTCCTTTGGAGCCAAGAATAGCTTAAGGATAAGGAACGCCCAAATTAAAATTATTGTAGTTTACAAAATTCTGATCACTATCACCATTTGTGACAAATTATAGAATTATAGTCAACTGTGATGCTAACAGCGAAAGACAATAGCTCAGTATGCTTCCATGGTGCTTATCTTCACAATGCAAAAATTAAACCCAAGTCATAAAGAGGTTGAGGTCAGAATCTGGCTTACCTTTTGCCAGTGCTGCATGCCTTTCCATGATTTTTATTTTATCTGTGCTACACTCTCAGAATGTGTGTGTCATAGAATTAGTCAGTGTTACCCAAATGTTTCAGTTGGAGTGTACCGCTCTCCTACAATCTTTAAGGACAGCAGGGCAAACATGTTGGGAGATATGTCATGTAAAGCCTATTAGAGTTCAGTAAAACTTCTAGAACATTTTTTGCAGGGGGAAGACTGTGAGCATCTTAGTGATGTTATGAGTGCTACAGTAGCTTCACCCACACAAAATAATGCAAGCATTCTCTCAAACTGCAGTGAACATTTCCTAAGCCTGCTAACAGTAAATTAGTTGAGTAATGAAAATTTAACCTACAGTAGTGTTCAGAACTCATCCTACAAGTATGCTATCTTAGGTCACATTTAGCCTTTGCACTGTCAGTTTGATATTCCACAATGCGGTTTCATCTTTTATAACTGTACAGAAACTCGTCAAACAACACTGATGCACAAGAAAAATGACACATCTAAAAAATTGTCATTTTTGAGTTAAGTGAAGAAATAAGCTGAGAGAATGGTCTACATTTACCTATATATAAAAAAAGAGAGAGAAAAAAACCTCCATTAAAACCATTCTGCCAAATTACAATTTTTGAGAAGAGTCTCTTTTCTTGTGCACCAATGACGTAAATAAATGTTCACAAAAATTTTTATTTTTCAAAAAATAAGTTAACACATTTCATTACAAACAACATAACATTGACTAAGTAAAATTTAGATAAAATGTTCAATTTCATAGTCAAATAATTTAAAATCCATTAGGTAAACATCATATAATTTCCAAATTAAGTCTTTAGGCAGAGTAGAAAAATATTTACCTAATTTAGAAAATGTGCTACTAGTCTTGTTAATACGAGGAAAGATCAGATCAGGTTTTCCTACCAACTTCAGAACATGTTGTGAATCATCAATTAAAGTTTCATACTTGCCTATCACATCATAATCAATAATGCATGGTTCACAAAGCTGGTACACAGATGTCCAATGTTCATTCATTAAGACATCTTCTCTGTTTGTAATATATGTTATAAACTCACGAAATGTCACATCATTTCCTTGTAGTAAAGCTTCAGGAGATGGTGTATGCCTGTAGTGACGAATGATGTGTCTTCCAAAGCGAACTTGAAAATATTTAGAACTTAGGTGATGTTGTTCAAGTTTGTTGCGATAAGCTGAAAGTAGCCTCTCAAAAGGATGGCGCACAATAAAGAATTTTGTGTAAGTTTCAAGAAATGTTTGAATTTCCTTCCAGGAATATGAGCTTAATCTGGGAAATATATGTTGACTGTGTGCAACATTAGCTGGTATATCCAGTGCATCAGTGGTGTTAACTTGTTCGGTCAAAATCATCAGCATTCTTTTCCAATTTGTGCAAGCCACCTGTGAATTCATTATCAAACGCTTTATTAAAAGAAAAAAATACATATAAATAACATTCCACAGAGTCACAAGTAAAAATATTTTTCTATAAATTAAGTTTTTCTTCAGAGTTTAGTTGAAGCTTTGAAGAAAATACATTTGATTTTGAGTGTTTTTAATTAATTTGGTTTTATGAAAGATACAATGATAGTTCACAGCAATAACATTGTAAATACACACATGAAATGCAAAGATACTCCTGTGATTCGTAGCAAATGAAAATAAAGTTAGTTCATTGCACTCTCAAAATCATCAGTTAAGAACAATTTGAAGGGTTAATTTACAAGAAATAAACAAAATAATTATTAATAAACAAATTAAGAAAGAATGATCGGGGACCTTGATATCATATCTTCTGGGAGAACATTTTCAAAGCATGAAATATTTTGTGAATTGAATCATTAACTATTATTATTTACATACTGATTATTTTGAATGGTAAATATTTATAGAGTCTGAATTCTTATGTAGATACACATTTTTTTACTATGTCCAGTTCTCAAAATAGAGATCTTGGTGAATCATGGGAACAATATCGAAAATTTTCGTTACATATTTTTACATATTTAGCAAAACTTTACTATATAATTCTACCAATTGTCTTGAAAATCATTGTAGAAAGAATATTCAATGAATTTTCAAAAATAGTTTTTATTTAAAAAAATTGGCATATTTGTTTTATTAAATTGTGTGCTGAAGATGTGGAAAGATCTACACTATCTGTTTGGGTTTATCTATCATATATGTTGCAACAAATGCATACATGCAATGAGAGCCATTATATGTCAAAAGTAATGGTAATGTTGTGTTGTGTTTCTTAATCTTTAATTCCAAATTTTGCAAAAACATTGGTAGTTGCAGACATATATAAGAAAAACACCACAGTGATTGTTTGCTGGCCATTGAATTCCTATGCTTATATAAAGGATATTGTTCTCGAAGATAAAATGTACCCTTAAAAAAGTTAATTCAGTAGACCAAACAATATTTTTGTTTAAAAATGGTTTAATAAATATTTTATTAATGTAATTTCGAATTGTGTCAATTTATTTTCTTTGGTTGTAATGTTTTATAAATTTCATATTACCATTATATCCTGTTTACTTTCTCATATACGTACATATATACAGAGTAAGAGAAAGTTATGCGACGCTGCAGAAAATAGACTTTGAGATTTTAACGGCAATACATGTCTTGGGGGCCGATCCGGTGGCCGAGATCGCTAAGGCAGTAGTCCGTAGCGATCTCGGACCGAAGGATCGCGGGTTCGAGTCCCGCCTCGGGGGCATGGTTGTGTTGTGTTCGTCCTTTCACCCCCTATTATCATCATCATTTTGGGGAAGGCAACGGGAAACGACCCTGAATAATTCATCATCCCAAGAAAACCCACTATGGGTCACCTAACTGCCATGTATGGTAGATAAAAAAAAAAGTCTTGGAGACCCCTGATTCCGAAAAACTGATTTTTTTTTTCAAAACGTCTGTCTATGAACACCACTAGCACCTAAACATTACATAGGATTTCTTCCAAAATAGATATAATATTCTCTGGTCAATCTGGCTCAACTCGAGGCACTGCGATTTTGAAAATCTTTCTTCAAAATTTGGGGGTACTTAACATGAAGCCCTCCAAGACATTTTCCAAATTTTCTCAAAAACGGCTCCAAATTTTTTTGTTAAATTTCTTGTAAGAAGAGAGTAAAATATACTTATGAAAGTTGCATAGGTCTGATTTTCACATTTAACTCCAAATTATCAAAAATTGCAAAATTTTGAATTATTTTGGCATCTTCCTTCAATTATAAAATTGAGATAGAGATTTTTCCTTAAAAAAAATACAAAAACAAGATTTCCTAAAAAATGGCTCCAAATTTTTTCTTAAAACTTTTGATAGGGATAGTGCTAAATGCACTCTATAAGATGACGTAACACCATATTGCTCTATTCTTTGTTTTTTAAAAATTACAAAAATGTAATTTTTTGTCTAGTCACTCTTGTTAATATTTACATTAGTGGTAATTTGTTTACCGTATTGTATTTATGAGTACATGTGCTTCAAATAATGTCACTTAAAATTTCTCAAAAACTCGACAGTTTTCTGTTCAAATGAGCTCAAAATTCCGCATTTTTAGACACGCATAAACACCATTTTCTCACAAATTGCTCCAAATTTTTTCTTCATCTCTCATGCTGTTAATCAGTTCCAGTGATTTGTAAACACTATTGCATTGGTGAGTTCAAGTATTCCAAATAACTTTAAATGAAGTTTTTCGAAAACTGTCTGTGATAAAGAGCTTCAAATTTTGCATTTACAGTAACTCTTATATGTGATTTTCTTAAAAACTGCTCCACATTTTTTAATAAGAATTGCTGTTGATGATGAGATTTTACTCTTCTTTAATTTTCTTAAAGTAATATTTTGGTTCTATTTAGAAACCGAAAATTGAGAAAATGTAAAAAAAATGTATTTTGGGCGGCGGTTGATGGCAGCTGGCAAGAGGATGGGGCAAGACTGTAAAGCTGGTCCACACCAAGATAATAAGAAAACTTAACAATGAGAAAGTCTGTGCCATTCTGTTGCACCAGTAGTTATCATCTTTGTTACATTTTCTTATCAAAGCATAGTCTTCTGTGGCCGGAGTCACTAGTTATTTGGTTCTCTGGGAATTTCCACATTCTAGGCATAGTTGCCAGAACTTTAGCACTCATACAGTCTTCCTCAGGATGAAATGCATTTTGCTTAGAGGAAGATCGCAGTATGTTTGCTGAAATGTTGGACTGCGCCTAGGACTCAGCATCTCCCAAACAGCCAACTATCTACATATTCTTATTGTTTTCATTACATATTTATGTGCCCAGTTGGCTGTTTCATACTACACATTTTTCTAGAGTCTTAATTATCACCACTTATTTATTGATTTAAACAAAACAGATTTACAATATTGATGTAGTGTTGTGTTGTTTTTTTTAGTGCTAATGACCGATTGTTCTTTTTCTGTACTGTTCATTTATTACATCTCTAATTTGCTAACTAAACTGTTAAGTTGACTAATTTGCAAAATACTTAATTAACTTAATTTGAAACAAAACTAAGAAATATTGAAGAATGTTTCTGCTTTATTGTGAATTTTATGGCTTTAATATGCAACAAAAGTGCCAGTTGAAGGTTTTACGTCAAGGGGATTTATTGAAGAGGCGACCCTACAGGAAATACAAGTAAATAAAAATATGTCAACTTATATTTGGACTATCAAATGAAATTCAATTATCAAAATAGCTTGAGCTATACATTCTTCAAAAAACAATCAGTTCTTCTATGTTCATTTGACTAAATCCAGAATAAGGGCCTACAATGGAAATACTACCCTAAACTAACCAATTTGAAGCAAACAGGCAATCTACTACTAGTGACCATTACAAAACAAAAAGAGTCACACACAATTCAACCAAAATCTTGTAGGGTCCTGTTTACAAACTTAACTTATTATTCTGGAGTTCCTAAATTGTATGAAAAGATGTTATTTGATCATTTTGGGAATCTAATTTGGATGAACTTTATTCCTACTACCATCCATCAATTCCTGAGTTGACTCCATAAAAATAGAGAAACATGTTCTTACCTTTGGTACGTAACAATACAAAAGTTTGTGCCTGCTGTCAACAAGTATGTGATCAAACTTCGCTTTGTCCGGAAGAGTTGTGTCATGATGCCCTGTTTTATTAGCATACAGGTCACACATTAAATTCAACAAGGTTTTTCTTTTTGTATCAACTGATCTCACATTTTGTTGTCTATGTTTTGATGAACTCTTCAATAACTCCAGATTAACAAAACTTAGTGGAACGTCATCTGTAAAAATTATGAACAAATATACATTTAGTTCTTGGAAAAATTTCTTCCTTCCAATATACCATTTTCAACATGTGAAATAGAAGCAGCTTGAGTGCAAGATTAACGTCAATCTGTTAACTTTATCAAAGCAATCTATTTACTTTATTTGGGCTTATACTAATTCCCGTTATCAGCAAACCAAATTTCTAGTTTAAAAAAGAATTGAAAAATAAGGTTTCCTATATTATCTAAATTTCAAGTAATGGAGCCCATGTTTACTCTCCGTACTATAGACTACAGAATATAGGAGTAAAAAAAATTCATGTCTGTTCGGACAATAAAATTCAAAAAATATTTTGTCCTAGGCTATTACATCCATCTATATTTTTGTACCTGCTCCCTTTTCCAACTTCACTTTCCCCAGGTAGAAGATAAAACTTGTACTGAGAAGTATCAAAATACAGAACAGAGCTCTTAGTTGCCTCTGTCCTCCAACAGTAAGAATGTTTTGTCTCCATTGTGAATGTTGTTCCCTGCAAGAAAATGTAATGATTAAAGAATGAAAACATAATAATTTTAAAATGGTGCAATTAACCCATTTGATGGTCATATGTTATTTTTTGTTTTATTGTTCATTATTTTATAATGTTCTTGTGGGAAACTTTCCAACTATCTAAAGAGCAAAATTTGGACATCTCATTTTGGGGACAATTGCAGAAAATGGAGACATTTTTATTTTAAGTTAAACATAGCAAAATTGATCTGGAGAGTAGGAGTTGCAAAGGTGGAACGGATGGTATAGAGAGGTTGGAGGTGGGGAGGAGGAGGAAGAAAACATGTCACAACAGATAATCTCAAAAGGGCCCAATAACACTTGCCAGTTTTCTGTCATTGCCTCAAAGAGGGGTCACATCACATTTTTATGTCAGTAAATACACCTAAAAATTCAATTTTGTCTCATGTGCCTCCTCGAAGATTTTTTTCATGGAGCTGGTCTCACAGGCATTTTCGTTTCCGATCGTTCACGGCGACGAGACCAAATCGCCTGCCCGAGAATACTAGTTCCAGTCCTGCCACTACCCGAGAACGAACAATATAGATACTAATTAGGCCGGATCTCTCGACACGCCGTGTATCGCTCAAGCATTTCTGTTAAACATCTTAAACGCAGTATTTATTCAGCTTTCAATGGAGGGAGGTAACTGAACTATGTGTACAATCTTGGGCATGCTTTACGGCGAAAACAATTAAAATTCAACTCAGTCCATTGAGCAATTGAAACTTGAAGTGATGTCATTGTTTAAAATTCTGTTTTAATTTATTAAATTAATTTATTCTCAATTAAATTATGTTAATTCTATATCTATGAAAAAAACGTGCTGAATACAGCAGCCTCTAACTGATTTCAAAAATCGACTAACTTCTCTGAATCAAATAACTTAAAATATATTTCTCACATGATCAAGTTGAAGTGAAGAATACAAATCAAAGAAATATCTTAATAAGAATTGGGTTACCCCACCAACAATTTAGATAATTAATTTTTTATTTTGCATCCTATTTTTGAGACAATGACAGGTTAATGAAATTTTCAATATGTTTATCATCTGCTCAACAGCAAAATCAAAATAAATCTGTTAAAACCAAAGGGATCAAACATAAGAACAAAGCTTTAATTTTATTTTTTATTTATTGATTTACTTAAGGTCGCATCAACTTCTAGGTCATTAACAACCACTGTTGCTTGTAATAGTGTGTTAACTGTGAGGATGACAAGATATGACGATGATAGGAGGTGAAAGGACGAACACAATACAACCATGCCCGAGGCAGGACTCGAACCTGTGATCCTTCGGTCCGAGAATGCTACGGCACTACTGCCTCAGCGATCTCTGCCACCGGATCGGCAAAGCTTTAATTTGTTTTACAATAACTTATCACTTTTCTCTTAGTTAATCATTCTGCTACTTCACATTTTGTGGGCCCTTTTTCATATGAAAATTGAGAAACAATTGTGAATAGAAAACCCATGAAGGCGGTGAATATTATTGCCCCCATAGGGTTGTCTTTTTTTTTTTTTTTTTTTTTTTTTTTTTTTTTTTTTTTTTTTTTTTTTTTTAAATTTATGAAACCAATTTGTTAACCAAATTATTATGGTGATTGTTTGAGTATCAAATGCAGTATTTCATAATATATTTACTATATGTATATTTATTATCAATTTCCTTCTTCAAAGAATGCCATTAGGTATGCTCTATTATTACAACAAAATCAATACTTAATTTGTAAGTTTTTTATTAAGTTTATGAGTACAGAAAGAGTTTAAAGGTATAAAAAGCTGAAATGATAGAGAAAAAGAAGACATTTCAACATTTTCTTCAGGAATAGTTATATTGAATTCCCACATGCAGCTGTAAGTGGAAAAGTTAATTCAAATTTGAACAGAAAGTTATACCTGGTAAGTTAACATTTTTATAAATTGGCCCAGGTAGGGTCTTCATACATGGAAATTCATGTGCTGCCTTTTATCTGTAGTATGATATGCTATACTAATGGACAGCCTGCAAAGAATACAGAACAGGAAGAAAATTAGTATATTGAAAGCAATGTACATTCAATTCGCCTTCTGCTTGTGAAAATCGCATGAAATACTTTCAAAATTATGGAAATTATTTATTACATATATCAATAAAAATGCCACAATTTTTATTTTTATTTGCTTAGATTAAATAACTAATTCTACCATCATAAGCATAGAATAACATGAAAGGAAAAGTAGGCCTTCCTGTGTTATGAAGCAAATAATATTACAGCATCCAGAAAGAGCTCTATCAGTGACTATTGTTCAAAATGATCCAGTTATGCAAGAGATGTAGAAAGCTGCATGACAGTGGGAGATAAGAAAAGTAACATTTACATATTTTGCACATCATCTTGTGCTAATGTAGATTTTAATTAATATTTTAAATAAAAACATTCTCCTGGACCTATCAAAGCAACATTATGTTGCTTTATGTGCCAAAACACAGAATTCTATGAAGTTCATACATTTTAATGCTTCATATATTAAAATTAACCATAATAATGATAATAACAATAATAATAGTGTAATAAAATCTTAAATAATTCAGAATTTTGAGAAAAGTATGGCAGAATCCTATAAAGCCAATCTCCCTTCTGGTCTAATTTTGAATGTTTTGTGGCAAAAAATGTTAATATTAACAAAAAAATATTCTAGTCTTGCATATCCCAATGCTTTTCAAGAGCATAGCCCAAAATTAAAATGTTTTTTGAAACCACTCACTCCAGGTGTAGTGAAAAAAAAATTCCCTCAAAGCATCAAGAACAATGTAAATATAAAACAAACTGTACTTAATTTTACTTAGGCCTACTAAAAAGCAAATGTAAAAGTTTTCCATAAGATAAAGTGACATCCTTTTCACATCGACTCCTGAGATAGACTGCCTTTTTGACCTAGCTTAGCAACAACATTGGATGCTATGTCTCCAAAAGTTAACTTGGTTATGCCCAAGATGTTTTCTTGGAATATTTTATATTTTCAGTTCTTAATATATTAATTGCTGAAGCATTCATTCTAGAATTTCACCAGTCCATGCCTTTAAAGTTTCATCCATGCAATCCAAAAGAAGCATAATAGAAAAAGTTTTAGTTGTACAATACACATTGCTGCATACAAATATTTTAATGTTAGCAGATTCATCTAAAACTTTAAGTTTTTATACATTACCCTGAACAGCACATTGAGGACTACAATCTTTTCTTCAATTGAACTTCCCAGATACTTAATATAAACAGAATTCTCTTGAATGTATATCTCGGGACACACAGTTGACTAGTTTTGCTAGATGTGGAACCTAAAATAAGAAATTTTATCTGTGAATATGCATCATCAGGGAGCAAATTCATAATACTGACCACAGCAAATGTTCAAAGAATTCACAGACTATTCAGCCAATTGATGAGTGGAACCATCTTCCTAAAAAGAAGACTTCCCTTATGCAACACAGTCGTATTCATAATAAATCGTAAAAATCCTCTTGGTGAAGTTATTTTTGTTTTCTTTATTTGAACATTAATTTTATGAACTTTTTTATGAACTATGAAATTATTTGAACACAAAGAGTGAAAATTGTAAATGTAACCCTTTAATTTGGGTTAATTGTGTTCCAGCCAGGGACAAATGAATATTTCTCCAAAAGGGACAGGCCCCAATAGCCCCCTCATCAATTCTCATTCCTGAATAATGTGCTCAGCAACACAATACATGTATCTGAAAAATATTAACACCGTTTGTTGCCACAGTCACAATGCTTGGAAGATTCTTTAGCTTTAAACACTTTCATTCTCACCCTCATTAATACAACCTTGTAACTGAACACAAATGATTGAAAATAAGGAGGCTACCACATGCTAATCTTATCTCTAAGTTTGACAATTCTAGACAAAGCGGAGGTCATAGAAGCACAGTACTTCAGTGCTTTGCTTCGCAGAAAATCTACTTCAGGAAAAGATTTGAAAACTCTTGTCTGAGATGTTCTGATTCGACATGTAAACATTAAAATGCAATGAAATTTGTAGTAATATGTAACAATTTGATATTATACCAAAATGTGTGAAAATATGTAAAATTTAAAAAATTGTTTTTTTAATAAATTCAGAAGGACTTGCAAAATTTTAAAAAAAGAGTATTTTACTGATTCAAAATAGTCGCCTAAATCTCTACTTATTAAAGTTCGATGGGACCTGCATCCAGAACGAGATTTAGAAGTAAGGGTTGTACAAATTGTTCCGGGGCAAAGGTACACGTCCCTGAATATCTGGCCCGTGGCCATCTTGGAGATGCCAGTTGACCGTTATTACCCCAAATTTAGTCACAATTTCCATTTCATTTAAAAAAACAAAGAAATAATCAGTTAAAATTAAATATATACAACAATTTTATAAAGTGAGAGTAAAATTAAATATTTTAAATCAAAAGAATCTTGATTTTGTTTTTAATTAGAGTGCAATAATTGCATGAACTTCTCATCTTCGGCTTAGGAACAAAGTTTCTTGATTAAAAAAGCTGTCTGCCCATATGAGTGTTATAAGAAATCTGCAAGGTTCCATTAGAGATAAACTATATTTCACATTGCTATATACAAAAGCTGAAACATTCAATTAAATATAACACAAAACGAAAATGCAAAAAAATTTGCCATTCAAACATTTTCTGCTTCTAGGCAAAAATACAGAATTGAAAAATAAAATAAACACGAAACAAAGTAATAAAGAATATTCCAAAATAAATAAACATATTTGAAATCTCTGTTGTTTCATAGAATACATCCGGCAACATATTTTCTTTTATGAAGAACCATGCTTCGTGACATTTCGAACACGAAGCATAGTTCTTCAACAGCGCTGAGCTTCCCATTCTCAGAGGGGAAGGTAGCTCCTGGCAAAGAACACAGCTGCATCCCTCCAAAGCACCCCCACCAAGTATCTCTCCAGAGTGATACTAGGGTGATGGGGCGAAGACCTTCCATCTTCTACATGTACCCTATGTGATTAAAAGTATCCGGAATGGTGTCCAAAATGGTGTTATGATATGGTCGTGTTTTTCATGGAGGGGGCTTGCACCTCTTGTTGTTTTGTATGGCACTATCTCAGCATAGGCCTACGTTGATGTTTTAAACGCCTTCTTGCTTCCCACTGTTGAAGAGCAATTCGGGGATGGCGATTGCATCTTTCAATACGATCGAGCACCTGTTCATACTGCACGGCCTGTGGCGGAGTGGTTACACGACAATAACATCCCTGTAATGGACTGGCCTGCACAGATTTCTGACTTGAATCCTATCGAACACTTTTGGGATGTTTGGGAACGCCGACTTCGTGCGAGGCCTCACCGACCTACATCGATGCCTCTCCTCAGTGCAACACTCAGTGAAGAATAGTCTGTTGTGTGTCAGAAACCAAGAAACCTTCCAACACCTGATTGAAAGTATGCCTGCTTGAGTGAAAGCTGTCATCAAGGCTAAGGGTGGGACAACACCCTATTGAATTCCAGCATTACCCATGGAGGGCGCGACGAACTGGTAAGTCATTTTCAGCCACGTGTCCGGATACTTTTGATCACATTGTGTATACAGATAGAGTAGCCATGACAGAAATATTTCTCATCTGACTAATAGCTTCATTGACATTTGGAGCGTATTTCCTGAATGTCTCCGATACCCTGTGCAACGCACAGCATGACAGGCGCAACAGGCGAAGGAACGATTTTCAGCGTTGTTAATGCCGCGCGAATGAATACGATGCTTATCCTTTAATTTGTATTTCCCTACCTTTACTTTTTTGTCTTAAAGTCTGTGTACCACACAATAAAATTGTAAGTACGATACGTATAATTCGGCACACCGCATGATGCTCAATGTCGTGACAGGGAAATCAAACATTATGCCAAATGATACTGGTGGAAACCCGTGCGAATCACACGGGAAGTTTAACCCCAAGTCCTTTTATTAATGTACAATATTCATCTATTCGGACAGGACAAGAAATGAATTTTGTATATAGTGTATCCTCCCAGGCTGACCTGCTCTGCTTTGCCCTGCCCTGCTGCCTTGCTCTGCCTTACGGCGAACCGATCAAACCCGCAATGATTCTTTTCACAGTCGTCGCCTTGCGTTGCCTTGCCTACCCCGCTTCTGTCCGCCTTACCGCCAGGTTGTACGTAATGTCGACATTATGAAAAAATCATTTTCTTGAATTGTTAATATAACATACACTAAAATGTAAACTACACGAGCAGACATCAGGAATTTCAAACATCTTATTAGCTGAGATTGATCGAGTAGTTCATTCGGAGAAGGGATGTTTACATCTAGACGATTTAGAAATAATACGAGCTTATACTAGCGTATCCGTGCGAGAACTCTCCCTTGTCAAACCCCCACCCTTTTCTCCATCCATCCATTTCCATATTTAGGGGGGATATTGTTAACGAAACATGTTTATTTGTTTAAAAAATATAAAAGTAACTGTATTACAGAATATGAAATAAAATGTTTAAACAAGTGTAACTGATACTTGAGACAAATTTTCAATACAGGTTATTCAGTATTAAAGACCTGTCCTTGGCACAATTCACAACACTTCCATAAAAACATTTCAAGTATTTATACAATCATCCTTGACAGTTTGCTTTTCGCTTTCCCCGATAGTCACTAAAATATTAGAAAGACTTTTTACTGTTGAGAAGGCTAAGTAAAATTGTCCATGCGAAAATATAGGATTGAGAAGTACAACCCTATTCTTTGGGATGTTTGCGTACCTGTGTTAAACCGCTCCCTCTTACTTCTTTCATTTGCCGAACCAGAAAAAATAATAGAATTTCCCAGAATATCTCATCTGGTATATTATGGTGTGAGGAACGTTTCCTTGAGGCATTTGGGCACATATTTCCATATTTCCAGGCTCTAGAACGCTTCCTTCTTACATAACCAAATACATTTCAGCAATCTTGCCAGAGTGTTGCGGGTTGCATTTGACATGAATATTTAGATTTTTTTTTTCAACAAATCTTTCATATTTTTAGAGTGCAATTTGTCAAGTGACCGTAAAATCCATTCTTTAGAGACATCATTTATAAAGATTGATTGAGTGTGAGAGCCGCAAAACTCCTCTATACTAAAGAAATAATATTGGAGAGGGTGATAGTGAATTGAAAGTAGTAGCATATATTTCGTTCGTTTCATTCATCGGCATTGAGATATTAATTACTCTCAAAATTGAATAGTTTGATATATTTCGTGAAACACATGTGCTGAAACATTATTAGGGCGAAATGAGGACAGTATATGGTTTTCATTCATTCAGGTATTTCTTCAACTTAAATAGACTGATTACTAACGAGGTAATACCAACGCAACTTAGAAAATGTATTTTCTCATTTCAGATCCATATTCCAATCTTACGATTTACTCATTCTATTACTCCATTCTGGCAAGTGAATACATTTTTCATCGCTGACTGTCCGGCACCCGTTTAAAAGCCGAATTGAAGCTAAAAGTTTATTATTACAATTATTATTATAAATATATTATGAATATAATTAATATAATATTAATATTGGTTAATAATTTTTTTTCTCAAAAATAAATATTCATTAGAACCAATCAACGTCCGTGATGCATACAAGATTTTACTTTATACCTAATTTTAATAATTCATAATTTGATTCGGCTTGCTTTTCGTGTTTCCCCTCCCATAATGCCCTAATGAAAACATGTGGAAACATTCAACTCCTTTCAAATTTCCCTCGTAACCACGATCCTCTCGATCCAGGTAAAATATGAAGTGTACATCGAGCTCCGTATTGAAAGGAATATCATGCAATTAAGTATCAGTAAAAAATAAATACACTTATGCGCCAAACTCTCCAAAATGCATACAAAATACGGATTTTACTACCTAAGATTCACTAACTACCCATCCAATATAGTGATCATGTTTCACAAAGATATGACCATTAACAAAAAACACGAAATTGTTGTTCAGACACTTCTCCGTTTTAGTCTTACTGTAGCCAGTCCAACGTAAGAACCTGTCGAAGGCGCCCTGTCGTAGCGGTCACCGTCACACACGATTAATCCCGTTAGTACGAGATGGCTAGCGTGACTCGCTTTAAAATCGTCAACATCAAAGGCGCACCCAGGATTTTTTCGGGGGAGGGGGGCGGCTAAAGGTACAGTGTCCGGCGGGCTTAATGCTTATTTTTTTATAATGAATTTTCCCTTTATGTTGGATATAAAAGGTATTTTTGAGTTATTTTTAATATTGATAACGTTAACAATTAATATACTGAATG